ATTGAGCAATTTCTTTATAGCACCAAACACAAAGTGCAGACAGTGGTTTGTTCAATTTTCAAATGAACTTTTCAAGTCACACATCGTCTGCTTCTTCCGCATTCCAGCTCCTTTTATTTTTGCATTCTGCTTCAATTTCTCTCGAATTTACGCAGTTTTCAATGACAACTCGGCGCACCAATATCCCGATGCTGGATCGACACTGTTGCTCCACAATAATGTGAAACTAGCGCTAGGCACAGAAGAACGGAAGTAGAAAGCTACGAGCGGATGTGCGCATGCCGCGTTTTTGCCTCTCTCCAGGTTTGGTGTTTTCCGCATGTTGAAAAAAAAAAAGGATCGCAATTTGTGACCGAGAGCGGTCCAGCAGAGGAAGGAGGAAAGTAGCGGAAAAGCTAGAGGAAGCGGAGTTTCCGCTATTTAGCGGAAAAGTGGCATCTATGGGCAAAGTACCCAAATCTGTTTGTCACATTTCACTGCTACCTAGCAGCTAGCATATGACATTATGAAATATGCTTTGAAAGTAGGCCTATATGTGCTGGATTTATTTTTAGTTTGAGTTTTATGGCAATTGCCACACAATTAGTTAAAATAACCAAAGATTAGAAGTGGTACAAGAGAGTAACATGTACAGAAAAGGAGAAGAAACAAGGACGATAGATGTTCGTTAGGAGAGATGAAGGAGCATGAACAGCCGCTAACCTTTCACGGGTTTATTTTTGTATGATGATGGAAAACAAACGGTGCTGAATAACACACGTTGTAGGCCTATAGTGTTGGTCTGAGAAAGCCTTTGTTGCAAGCAATGGTTTTGATGACCTGTTTAAAGTGCTGCTAGTGGGGTGGGAGTATTTATAAATGTACATATTTCTTTTTTTAGTTTTAGTAGAGGTTTTATTGGGCTTGCAACATACGGTCATATGAGCGCCAGAAGATTAGAGGTTTTACAAGAGAGTAACAAACATAAAAAAGATGAAGGGGAGATAAGGATTGATAGATGTTTGATAGGAAAGAAGAAGTAAACCACACCAGAGCACCCTCCAACCACCCACTAATAATATAATATGGTTTAGTATTTTTCTTTCCTTTTTAATTCTGCTATATAAGTATAATAAAAGTTTTCTTTTCTGAATTTCTCAGAACAATGATTGCTGCATACGAGTCTATAGCTTGTTCACTTTTGTCCAACAGTGTTAAAAAAAATTCTGGCTCTATAAATTTACCAATGCCCACAAAACTTTGCATTAAATTGCATGGCTCTTCTCTACAGGCCAGTGACCAAACAAAAATATTTTTTCTAAAATCTTGATCCCGGAATAAAAAATTTCTCTTTGGGTCCTATATTATATATATTAACACGCCGGTGAAAATTATCCGTTCTGGTCACCTGAACTGGCGGTGTGACTACAAAGTGTTAAAAACCGCTCTTTGGATGCGTACACAGGATCACTAAAATGACTTACAGCAACCTTGCATACAGATTGCTTATTTTGAGACAGCGACACCACCCTACAGTACCCCCTCTTTTCAGTGTAAACTTGAAGATTTCATCACGGGCTGTCAGGATGTCTCCACACGAGTCTCGAAAATTACTCACCCCGTCACTTGATTCGCTTTTCTTGGGCATACTTAGAAAGAATGATGTGTTGAAGAAAATATATCAACTTTTAAGAGTTTTAAGTGTATACTGTAAATCCTCGATTATTTTTTTAAACCACTTTAGGCTTACTTCAAAGAAAACGTTGGAACCACAGTTTGCAGTGACCTTTCTGAATGGGCTTTAGATTTTATTGGCCATCCAACATTTAGACCTCTATGAAAAGATCTGAGAAGATTAAACAAAGCGATTTCATTTTGTCTTGTTTCAACTTCTGTCCGATGAAAGTGAACAAACTGTAATTTCTTAAGAATATGTGCAATATCTTTCGGATGGTCCAACATGTAAAACGACACTTAATGAAACTGTTCCCCAAGTTAGAGGTCCGCCCATGTTCATGTGGACAAAATGATACACTCTTTCAGCCATCACGTATCATGGGAAAAGTTTTGATGTACGACATATTCGTTTTCTCAGTTTTATTTTCCAGCATCCAGATTTTAGGTCTTTTCATGACTCTGGTGAGTAAAGATGGAATATAAGGAGCCTTTCTCAAGTGTGAAAAATTGGTGACATAACATAAGCCACAACTTTTTAATAGGAAAATATAACAACCGTGGAACAAAACTGTTTTTGGCACAGTCGTACATCTGTACCTTGACAGAGCTGTACTCCACACTTCAGAAAAGTGAAGTAAGCCATTTTCTATGTCATGATCTTGGTTGGGTTGTTTTGTTTTTTGTTTCTTTGGGGGGGGGGGTGTGTTAGTAATTTGCTTTTTTGTTTCTGTGACAAACCACTTGTGATATCCCATCACAGAATCTGCCTTACTGAGATTTATTTCTGTGAGCTGATTTAAATTTGTGAATGGATTGGTGTGATTTCACATGGTCATGCTGAACGCATTGTATTGTGTAAAAAAAAAAAAAGGTAAATGAGTGAAAAAAGTTTTGATTCCGGTCAGTATATAAACATGTACTTTTTTGTTCCGGTGTAAATCAAAAGCATTATAATAATAAATACAGACTTGTATTCTAGAAGTGAGTGTTGATTTTTTTCTAATTTGTGGAAGTTCATGTTTGGTTGGGGGGGTTTTGGGAGGCGTTTGATTGTTTTAGTAGAGGTTTAACAGCGTTCGCAACTGCATAAGGTCATATGAGCGCCAAGGGGTGGATGTCAACAGTGAAGTCCTTACTTACTCTGCTCACCTCTCTAGCTTCAACAGAACAAAGTACAAAGTCTGCTTCGACTATCAAGGCACCCCGGAAATAGCAGGTCACAAGAGTGTGACGGGTGAGAATTAGGCTTGGGATTAAGAGCTGAGGGATGACACCGACAATGAATTGATACATCCAGCACCTCTCCACCTGATGTTTCTCTCCATCATAATGTCGCCTTGCAACCATATGAAGAACATAACCATGAAACATCACAACAAATAAGAAAAAAGAGGACAAAAGACATGTTTAAAAACTCAACCCAACATGAGGGCATTCATTCAACTTTTACTTACAACTTTTTTTTAAATTCTCATCTAGTCCTGATAAACAACAGAACAAGATGTCTTTACTAAGAGGATCAATAAAACCCCTTGCAGCAATGAATGGTTGATCAAAGTACACACTGTTGGCATTCACAAGTCTCTCTCTCTCTCTCTCTCTCTCTCTCTCTTTCTCTCTCTCTATCTCTCTTCTCTCATCCTCTGCAATAAATATCAGCTACTGCTTGCAGGCAGCACATATAAACATATGTACATGTACAAATGGGATATGTACAAATTGCAATGAAGCCTTTGTAACAAAACCACGAATGAACCTCAGTATCGCTTTACATTCTTCATATCAAATGAGAGCAGTGTGCTTAGCTACCCAGCATACAATAGCAGAGAAAGATTTCAAAGCTGACAAAGTGATCTCAGACTTGCAGAGATGGTTAATACGCTGTGGCCAAAGTCAGCTTGCCACATTTCGCACACAACTGTATTGCTAACAGAAATAAACGTACATTATATACACAGGAATATAATAAGTCACAATGGGAGGAACATTCCTGAATATCTTGTATTTCCAACAAAGAAAAATAATGGGGCAGGGGGAGGCAGCTTGACAAAAATACACCAAACCATCCTGTATTTTTTCAAAATAGGCACCCCACCAAAACAAACCACAGAAATGGTCGCTTTAATTAAAGGACAAGTGGGCTATCCCGAAAAATGTTTTGAGAAAATCGAAGGTAAAGTTCTTGCCCCTTGCTCAGTTTCATTGAAAAAACAAGGAGAGTTTTCTCTACACCAATGAAACCAAACTTCTATTGGTAGGACAATGCCCACTTTTGGTGCAGGTCAAGATTTCTTGAAACCCCCGAAATCTGGGCTAGCCCCCTTGTCCTTAAAAGCCACCAAATACACCTTTCAAATTGCGGCAATGTTCCGAGCTCGGCTGCAGTCATGAAGTTCCACTGCAGCAACAAATAATACAAGTAGCCACAAAGAGCCCTGTCATTTCTAGATTGCTGATGAAGGACATGGCAAGTATCACATGACAGATTGGACACACAGGTCCGGTGTAAGAGAAAAACATTCCAATAAATCCCTCAGGGTAAACAAGAAATTAATGAATTTTCTCCAAACAACAGGAGCCATATTCTTCAAAACAAATCTAGCTTTGCTTTTAATTTTCCTCTCAAACATTTTCAAAATGCCATCATCCGTTTCAAAACAACATAATTCACCATTTTTGGGTGGTGACTGAATATTCATCTTTGTGGCACCAATCTGTTTTTGTCTTAGTAAGCATTTTACGGCACTTGCAACACAATAAGGTCATATAAGTGCCGAAGAATAGTCGTGTTACAAGAGAGTAACATGACATACACAAAAAAGGAGAGAAAAGGACGATAGATGTTTGATAGGAAAGAAGGAGCAAACCACACCAGAGCACCCGCCAGCCACCCACTAGCAACAACCACAGCACTAGATTCTCCTAGGGTAGCATTAGCATATATATCTATGCCTTCGATAATTTAAAAAAAATAATAATCACGAACAAAGCCCATGGGCCAACATGAGAACAAAGTGCCGTAGATCTCACTACAAACAACCGTGCCCACAGTACAGGATCACCATAGTTAATGATACATCAATTTCTGACATAAACGCTGTAAAATGAAGAGCACTTAGCCTTCACCAACAAGTTGGAAATCTTTTAATATAAAAGAAATCCTGTGCAAAATACAAAGCAAATCTATAGGCAATGGAAAACATTTGCGAGAAATCATAAAAGAAAATGACATCCATTTGTCCCAAGTTTTTCAAAGTGTAAAAAGGGGATTTGGCTCAAAATGTGTTTGAACAAACCACCACAAAATCGTGAACATGACGACTCTTAGAAGCAGGAGAACTCACTTTTTTTTTTTAAAGGGGACTACAGGAAAGAAAATAACACAGAGACACTTTCACATACACTGGTCATTATTGTAATGGGCTATTGACAAATCCCACCACATGCACAAAGTTCTGATGTGGAAAAGAAAAAAACTGAAGAATGGTAAAAAAAAAATAATACACTATATTCGCACTGTTTACTGTCCATTTTAAACTGACAGAAAATACAGAGCTGCTAAAAGTTGCATAACATTCAGCAGCATTGAAATAATAAAATGTAGACATGGTCATCAAAGTTATAGTGAGCCAACCACTCAAGAATTCAGATTAGCATCAGTTACAACAGACACATGTTAGAGTTAGTCTCTGGTCACCTAGCTCTCAGGCTTAACATTTTGTATTGAAGTCTGCGTTGTCAGAGCTGGTTCACCCTTGCCCTCAACTCCTAGGACTTTCAGGTTCATTTCTCTTTAGAACGCTTAGCCACTTCTGAAATGAACACTTCTTGAGCAATTTTAAAGACCGAAACTGAAACAATATGCATTCATTTGTGGTTTTGGAGAGAACAAAATAAATTAACTATATGTACAGAACAAAAAATTGCCAAAGTTGCTCACTAACCATACAACTAAATTTGAACAAAGGCAGTTACTTGATTATGAACTTGCACAAAAACACACAACTTTATTGTAAAAGTTCAGCAATAGCCCTCGGCGTCTCTGACAAGAACGAAATTCCCATCACTCATCTTCCACAATTCAGTTGTGCTCCAGATTTCTTGAGTGACCCATTGGGTCTCAATGTGTAACATGCCAGTGTTTTATTTGTAACATGTCAGACACTTGGTATGCATGAATGTACAAAATTGTAATACTAGTTTTTATTAATCACAGTAAAAGATCACTTTCTAAGCATGGAAGAATTGGCCATTTCACGTGGACTCATCTTTTTTCCCTATCTTCTTCGTTGAGATACCTTTACTCCTTTTCTGTAAAGATTTTTTTTAAGACTGGAGAAAAAACCAAGCCCAAAAAACAGTTCTGAGCTCGTATTATGGGGTGACATGTAGTAATATTTTCTTCTATTTCTAACAAATATCTGACAGGCACAATTGTAACCATAAGTTTCAATGATGTGCAAAACAAACCCCAAGAAACAAAAACTTCTCTACTCAGAGTGACACTTCCTTTGATCAAACCAGCAGAGTGCACATTTCCCACACCTCCGGCTAATGAACAATTTCAATCCAGCACTCTAAGCCAAATTATACAAGACAGGTTTAACCACCTCTGACAAGACGACAAATTAAAAAAACAACAGAATTATGGATACCTAAATATGTGCAACTGGTTCTAAAAAACTCCATGTCCAAGAAAACACTCTTAGTAAATTTCTAGCCCATTACCTCGCTTCCTATTAATTCACTTGTTCCTTGAGGCTAAGCTATAAAATTATATAAACTTGAATTCAATTACAATTAATGCAAAGAAAAGCATTTATTCAACAACATACTCTAATACAATTTATAATGAAGAAAGCAGCATGAGCACTCTATACAATGAGAGGTAACCTCTTTCAAAAAGCTCAAAAGCTCTTCACAACTTTCAGTTTCTAGTAAATCAGCAATTTTGTAGGTGAGTCTTTACCAAAACAGACTCACAAAACCTTTGGAAACTGAAGTAGGATTTTTTTCAGAATCCCCGTAAAAAGCGGAAAACAAGACATGTAACAGAAGGCAGTTTAGAGAAAATTTCAAAGTTGTCTGACATGCTTTAAAATACTTTCATTTGAAAGCCCTTGCCTTCACGATCATAAAACAGTTTACATTGTGTTGATATCTTTATTGGTTAAAAGGTTATGGCGATTTTTTCATACCTAAAATCCTGCCAATTTCAGACCATTGTTAACATTGAGTTTTTGTGACATCAAAATGCAACTTTACAAAACAAATGACCATTACTCTTCTAAATGTGTTATACATCAATTTGTTGGGAATTTTATATAGAATGCACAAAACTACAAAACGCCTCTTTAAAAAGTCACAATATTTTTTTGGTTAAAAAATCACCCTAAAAAATAACACAAAATTGACAAAACGGGCAATATCTTTGCTGCTAATAGTCATATTTACACAAACCATACTTTATTCTCTTTGTTTTTCGTCACTGTTCATAATTATTAAAGAATTAAGCCAATTAAGTAGTAATTTTCTAATTTTATGGGCATTCTTATGAATTTAAACTTTGTTTTTTAGGGCTTTCTCATCTTAAAACTGATTCTGTAAAAAAAAATTTTTTTTTAACTCTTAATGACCATAAGTCAGCTCCCCATCCTTCTTTTTCAGTTTTGTGCATACATTTGTGTCAAACTATATTTTATGCTTTCAAATATAAAGAGCTTATAAAGTCAAGAAAAGTGTTCTTCGGAGACATACATTTTAGTAGTAAGCCCACTGGAACATTTAATAAACTGCAGAAAGAATACCAGAAAATAACAAAATCATCTTATGATCTTCACTTGCACATGCAATTTTTAAAATAAGTTATAGTCTACCTCATTTTTTTTTTTCCACACATTTTAATTCACTATTATTGACAATTGTATTGTTCTGAGTTATCATCAATTAGCAATATTTTCATGGATGAGCACAATCTTTTTAAAAAATCATAAGTCAGAGACTCATGGTCTGAAAATTCTCCTGCTATTCTTTGGCCAATATCAAAGAAAACAGCACAATTTGATAACGTAAAAAGTAAAAATATCCAGAAAATAACACAAAATTAATAGGTACTGAAAGACTGAGCAGAGGCTTAAAAACTTTGTTCTCTACTAGTAAGTTTGTGCAAAACTGATTTTTAGATAAAAGTTATTGGTATCTAATAAAAGTAAGTGGTTGTAATGATGAGATTATTATTATTGACTGAATAATATGGCTAGATGCTGAATCTAAAATTACTTAAAACTGTACAATTCCAAGTTTTATTTCCATTCCAAAGCCCAAAATCTTTTAATAAGTTAGATCTAGAAGATGCAGGCTCTCTGACTGCTGCTGTACTAAATAATGCTAATTCTAAACAGGAAAATCTAGATTTAGCTATCATCTGCACTATTCAAGAGCCAAATATGATAAAATAAAAAGCATAAAATATAGTTTGACACAAATGTATGCACAAAACTTTGAAAAAGAAGGATGGGGAGCTGACTTAATATTCTGAAAATAGCTGGGGAAATATTCTGAAGCAAATATTTCCAGTTCAACCAAATCGATTTTTACGTGAAGACTGACATTTTGAAGATCTTTCATTTCCGTTTAAAGAGATGTATCAGATGTGGTAGTGCGATTCACAAAACGAACCAAAACCCACAATAACGTGAGGCTTCACGGCAGATCATATAAGTCTACGGGCGTATCGTGGCTGATTCGCCCAGCCGTGAGCGCATTCACTAAACTGCCTATTAACAGGCAATGATTTTGACAAATAGAACCAAATGGGCAGAAGTTTGCAAACATCAATACAGGTAACATCTGGCCGGGCAACATCTCAACACATTAATGCAAGTACACAAGTTTTGCTGACGACAAAGGTAAACAAACCATAAGGCCAATCTAATTTTGTCATTAAACAACCAGCCATATGATTAAACAAAAGAGTAATACGGTTCCAAAACACAAAAACAGGCACCTGAGTAATAACACCTCTGTATTTCTTGACATACAGACTGTGCACTCTGGAAAATTATGAATATAAAAGAAAGAGTAATTAACTAGAGCTTTCTTGCAAATAATGTCTTTTGACTGCCAGTGAGGATGTAGGAGTTTTCACAACCTGAGTGCAAAAGTCATTGAAAAGCAAAGTTCTTTATGAGTCAACGAGTCTTTAAAACAAGTTCGTTCATTTTTCCGCTGTTCCCTTCCTTGGTTATAACAGAAACCATGAGATTATCAATTCTGCATGAAATATTGGATTTGTGAATGTCTTGATGAAACCTGTCTGTGAAATGATAGGTACATGAGTGGTCTAAAACATTTTCTAAGAAATCAATCATAAAAGCATGAACATATGAAAAGGCAAGAAGCATGACAAGCTAAGATGAAGACAAACAATTTTTTTAGTTGCGCTAGAGATAAAATTTGCTAGGAAATTATTTGGAACATGTCAGAAAACTTATAAAAAATTTGCTTCTCCTTTGAAATCTTTCCCTATCCCATCCTTGGCTTCACAAAACTCTCTTGACATCATTGAAAATATACAGGCTGCCTGACAGAAGAAAACATTAGATGTCTCCACAAAACTTCACCGGGCAAGGAGGGAAATACAGTGACCCTAAAATTCAATTGTCTAGCTAGATACTGGAGTTTGGGGCAACCCACCACAACAACAAAAACCCCACCAAACAAACAAGGGGTTGAATTCAGACTGAAATATATCAAGTCCTAGTGTAAACCAAATACCAGTGAGCATTTATATTGATTAAGAATCAGTGCGATTCACAGTTCAAAAAGGAAATCTTGCTTATACACAAAATCTCAGAAATTGTACAAGATAAAGCATTTTACTTCAGTTTTCAGCGCATTAACTTACAATACTCGTAAAACAAATGAAGACAAAACTTCCAAACATAAAACAAAACATGATGGGGGAGAGACTTTTACAAACATCCAATTTTGTTGTGTTCAAGTGAAAGTTTACATGACTGGCATGATTATCCTTCCCAGTTGACATACACTGGAGTTTATGACAATAGCTGGAATAATGTCTATATACATATGCCAATGAATCACTATTGCTCAAGTAAAAATTTAAAAAGTAGAATATTCATGCACATGCTGCATTCCTACATGCTTAACAATTTTCCAGTCTCCCACAATTTCAAACATCTGCACAAAGGCACTTTCATACAAGCTAAAAGAGTTATTTCTTTCAAAAAGATGCTGCAAAAGTCTCTTTGGACTAGTCCCTTGAGACACAATCAATTACTTCATAACAAGATTTTAAAAAGCTACCGGTAATAATGCTCGCTGGCCAAAACGTACTTAACACTGAAATCAATGCAACACTATATATACACACCATCATCAATAAGAGAAAGTACTGGTCTGAGAACGATAAGGCTTGAAACGATTGCTGTTGTTCTTACTATACGTCTGATAGTCGTTGTGTCGCCACGGGTGAGAGGAGGATGACGATGATGATGATAACTGAGACTTTTTATGGTAGTGATGGTCGTGGTGCTGGTGGTAGCTGTGATCCTGAGACCAGGAGGAAGAGGAAGCGTCCCTATGCTGGGGGTCATAAAAGAAAATAATTTCCACTGTAGCCTACATCAAATGTCACACTCACAGTCATTAAAATGTGCATAACAATACAAAACAGTTGTCTCCGCCAAAGATCCCACCACTTACGATCCAGGTTCGCTTAAGGGCTGGTGGGGCACCTAGAAATCGTGTTTTGGGTTCAAATTTTCCATTCCGTAGTCCTGTACTTCGCCACGCCGTCACTCCCACCCAAGACGGTCTTTGCTCACACGATGCTGTATTTTTATGATGCGAATGTGCGCAGGGTCAGTGACCGGTCACGATGGCGAGCCAGACAATCTAAAAATCGGACGAAGCTTGAATTTTCTTTCCTTTTTTTCACACAAGTGACAGCACAGAGACGATTCGGAGTATGTATTAAATTTTATTTGCACGCGACACAGCGTTTATACTGCACAACCTGCATGTCACAAATGTTGCGTTCAGACTACCGCTAGCAAACTTCTGGGTGGTAACGAAGGCGAAAGTAGATCTTGATTTTCCCGATCAAGCCTCGGTGTCACATACACTTCCGCCTGTTCGTGTGAAAGTGAAACGTACTCTCGGACGGCGAAAAGCTGAACGAATATAATATCACAATCGCGACCGGCAAAATTGAACTTACAGACCTTATCGGACTTGGTTTTCAAATATAGTATTCCAGTTCCGCGATACTACTGAAACTATTTTGACAAAAGATGGGACTTGAGATAATAAGGATTACTTGCCTAAGCTGAATCTCGTATTTTTCGCATTCCAACATGCGTATTTTTTCATGAAAAGTCGTATTCGCGTATTTTCGGCAAAAAATCGTATTAGCATAAGTAAAATTGTACTGGTTGGCATCTCTGAAGCATATATAAAAAATTCAACCCGCCAAATTTAAGAGCTACATATTTACGGGTGGCATGTCAAATAAGATGTGAATCGGTTAATAAATCAGTGTTTCCACCAGCTGAAGCTGAAAAGTAAGGAAAATTCTGCGGCCCCCAGCAGGGTCCTGGGACAGCGTCCCGGTGGGGGTTCAGAGGGCGGAGCCCTTGAAGAAATTGAAATTTAGTGCTTTTAGAGGGTAGAAAATGGCATTTGGGAGCCTGTTTGAAGATGTTGCCTACAGCCCATAATATTTATTTTTTCACCAACATTTTGTCTTGTTTGACTTCATCACCAGCATCTTTCCAATGCTGGAAATGTTTAAAAGCAGATTTCCCTTTCATTGCTACTATAATTCAATTAATTTGTAGTCGCACCATTGACAGCAGGCAAACCTGGGAATAATGAATAGATGTACCTTCAAAATACGGTTGCGCAGCGCATACCCACATTTTTTCTAAATTTTCATGTATGAAAGTCGCCTGTCACAACCTCGGAACACCACTTTGAATTATTCTTGATTTTATACGAGGTGCCCGACTCGATCGCCTCAAAAACAAACGTGTTTGTTTTCAGTTTCAAAACAAACATGGTTGTTCGACCGAGTCGGGCGATCAGCGCAATTGGCCGATCCCATCCGTAGTGGGCACGACCGTATCAGCATATATTTCTTTCTTCGCGGCCCTTATCCTTATATTGCGTTCACGTGCCGTAGAATCTTCGTATTGATAATTTCTCTAGATCTAGATAAAATTTGCGAAAAAAAGTTTCTTTCCGACAGTAATTTTCTGTCTAAGATCAAAATCAGTCTTGATCAACGCGCAGTTTTTCCAGCCGCGGCAACAATCCGAAGATAGACAGAAGGAATGAGTGAATGACAGAAAGGAGGAAGTTGGCACAAAAAGTTCACCAGATTTTGATCCATCTGCAGGTAAAAAATGTACTGCTGACCAACACGCAATGAATGCATGGGCCTGGGACAACCTCCCTGCTGGGACATGGCGGTATAATGTCCGATTGCAGGAAATGCGCAATTTGGCAGGTTTCTATAACGTTAACTTGTTGCCGAGAGAATTACCGTAAATATCCGTACCTTATACAAGACAAGTACAGAATTTCTGCAGTCCTGCACTGTCGCAGTTTTTTTACGGAGGGAGTAGATAATGATGAAGGGACAAGTACGGAACTGGCAGAAAATACGGATTTCCGTAAAAATACGGAAGAGTGGAAGCACTGATAAATACTGGAATAACATGGGACTGAAAAAGGTAAACAAAATCCAATATGGCTGCCGTATCCATAGCAACCAATTCACAATATACTTTTTGAACTATTGATTTAAAATCCCCAATAACACACGATGTCCCACAGCAAATGATAAGCGATAGGGACACTCAGACACGGGACCAGCAGGAACAAGAGGTTACCGAATAACGGTTATTGGGGCAGAAATTTGCGGGAAAAGGAGAAGAATATGAAATCTAAAGTCCTAATGCTACGCGGCTGACACGAAAAAGGCGTACAATATACGAAAAAGTCTTATAAGTGTACTTACTACCCATTACACCATCTGGCATTTAGGGCAGCAACAAAGGATCTCAAGCTCTGTCTGTTTTGGGCCATCTTGGTCAGCGTTCCCCAGCGTTATAAGTGTACAAAAGTTTTAAAAAGTAAGAATGCGTAATTTTCGCGTGAGGTTGGCAGCTCTGCTATCGCCCTTATTCTCTAATCTTCAACACCTATTTAACCTATTTGTGTTACCAAAACTAAACCAAAAAAAAAAAAAAGAAAAAGAAAAAAAAAGATAAGGAAAAGAAACACAAAAGAAGTGAAAGAACATACTACCGCCCCAAAGGGCCTGTTAACTCACACGAAGAAAAGTACAGAACAGTCCTAGAACATTATCAGTCCCACGAATATTACCAAGAGTGAGAAGACCATTATCTCTAATCTAATGTTAACCCTTAGAGTGCTGGTCACGACGGCCCGAACTTCCGTAAAGCGTTGATTGCGACCGGTTGCGATAGACATTGGCATAGTATAACATGATGTACGGAAAGAACGAAGAACTTATTTTTATACTGCTGGCTGGTAGGCTACGCAGAATTGATTTCACCCGCCATTTTTCCTGTCACGGGGTTCGATCGATGTGCAAGGAGTGACAATGAAGTTGGAAAATTCGCGATGGCGACCTGCGACGAACATGAAAATAGTGTCGCATCAGATTCAGATGAAGATGTTCCGTGTATTTTCCTTGAATTGGAAGATGATTTCGAGGGTTTTGAGCTAGAGCTAACACTTTGTGAACAGGGGTTGGGTTGATTTAAATCCGTTGATTTTTTAAATTTAAATCAACTTGATTTTTAAAATAAAAATCAGTGGTTTAAATCACTTTTTTTAAAATATTATTTTTATTCAGTTTTTATATATTTCAACATTCAGAATTCCTTTCCTTGGTTTCATAAAACAGATATAAGGTTTAGTAGACTAATATAATCATGCTTAAAAGTCTGCTTTCCACCCTTTCACTGTAAAATAATACAGTATTCAATTTACTTTTTTTTTCCATAATTGAAATCAGAGCTGGGTTGATTTAAATCAGCTGATTTTTTTTATTTTAATCAACTTGATTTTTTAAAAAAACATCAGTGATTTAAATCACTTTTTTTTTTAAATGTATTAAGTTTTTACATATTTAAACATTCAGAATTCCCTTCCTTGGTTTTATTAAACAGATATAAGGTTTAGTAGACTAATATAATCATGCTTAAAAGTCTGCTTTCCCCCCTGTCACTGTAAGTAGTAAAATAATACAGTATTCAATTTACTTTTTTTTTTCATAATTGAAATTAGCATTTTCTTTTTCTTTTTAGACAAACACAAGTGCGCGCACACACACACACTGTAATAAAATGCAAGTTTATCTATGCATAATTACCCCCCCCCCCCTCCCTTTTAGACTGACATTTTCTTCATTTTAAATTGTCTGTAGCCATAATTCACTTATATAGCAGATTAAGGCTTTCTTGTTTGTTGTTTAGTATAGGGTTTTACGGCGCTCGCAACTGCATAAGGTCATATGAGCGTGCGGGACACACTAATACTTTTTCGTTGGTAGGAAATTTTGAATTTTGCCCGGGTGGCGGCCGAAGCCTACTCTTATCGATTTTAGGCCACCAAGGGATCTTTAACGTGCGCAACTTGCACACGGGCCCTCCGAGATTTTTCGCCCTTGTCCGAGAAGGCTAGGTGTAGATCTTTCCTACCAGAAGATCAGGGGTGTGGCAGAAAGACAGCAGTTAGGAGGAGCCAAGGAGTAGCAGTAGAAAGGCTGCAGAAAGAGTCAGGAGCCCAGAGGAGGGGGCAAAGGAGGTGAGGGGGTGGGGGCAGAAAGTGGAGATGAAAGCAGACAACAGAACATTGTTAGAGATCAGGAAAGGATGTGAAAGGAGACAATTTTAGAGAAGAAAATGTTTTGGTCGCTACCCGGAATCAAACGCGGGACCTTTGAATGAGAGGCCAACACCTTAACCCCTAGGCCACGAGAGCCCCCCTAAGGCTTTCTAAAATTGCAGTTGCTTAAATTAATAATTAGTTAAAATAAAGACAATGCATTTTGCACTAAAAGAACATACTTTTAGCCACCAAAAATCCGAAACTGTGTCGACATTTTAAAAATATAAACATTTTTTAAAATCTGATTTAAATTTTAAAAATTTTGATTTAAATTTATTTTTTTTAATCGATTTTTTAAATTTTTTATTTTAAAAAATCAAAATGGCTTTTTATTCATTCATTTCCAACACCACGACTAAAACAACTTCACAAAATACTTTTTGCATCGAACTTTCATAAAGAACTTCCAATATTCTAAAACTTTTATTCTTACCTTCATTAGAAATTTTGACAAATAAAAAAGTTATTATCCCCAAAAAAAAACCAAAAAGCGTTTGTGCAAATCTGGCGTTTTTCCAAAATAAATTCAGCATAGAGGGAAAATAAAAGGGGAAATAAGTCAGCGCTCTAGGGGTTAAATGGTACTAAAAGAATTGAAAAGAACATTTTCGCTGAAACGCAAATGAGACAGAAGGACTGCATTTGATAAACAATGACTCTTGCAAAGATCATTACTAAAAACATAAATACTAATACAATAAATAGCCTCTTTTTCTACTTTCGCCCTGTTTCATCGTCCTGATTTATTGGTTTCTTTTCTACAGTGAGTATCATTCAAAGGTGGCTCACATAAACAAAGAATTATCTTGCTGTTCCAACATCTTAGGCTTGTAAAAGATAAAACATGGAGCCAGTGTAGCAGCACAACTTACCTTGTCCCCTGACTTCAAAGACTGATGGTGTTGAAATGGGTTGTACGAGGAGTTAAAGCCATGATCTTCTTTCAACCTTTTTGTTTTCTTGACCTGAATAAAAGTGAAAATGAAAACAATTGCTCAATGGCCTTCACTCAGACAAAAGTCTCATAATATGTCATGACCTCTATCATGAACAAATCAATTTTAATTTTCCATTTGACAAAACACATTTTTTGACTCGAAATAATATATTTTTATGTGATGAAGAGCAAGCATGAAAAAATATTGCTGCTGTCAGATTTTTAAAAAGAGCCACACTAAATATCTTTGCGTACCTGTAACCATGGTAAAACTGAGTTCAGCACTTTTTCTTGCCAATGCCACTAGAAGCCTCAAAGCTCTTTGGGCTTACAATAAGCATCGGGAAAACTGAAGTTCTTCACCAGCCTGCCCCACAAACTAACCCACTGTCTCCAAACATCACTATCAATGGCAACAGCCTGAAGAACACCAAGAACTTTAAATATCTTGGAAGTTTCATCTCTGCAGACGGCTCCATCGATCAGGAAATTGATTCAAGAATCAGCAAAGCTAGCCAAGCTCTCGGTAGACTGAAAAACAAGGTACTAAAACAGCACAATGTCCGGCTGTCAACCAAAATCAAAGTGTACAAAGCTGTTGTGCTCTCCTCCCTCCTCTACGGTTCGGAGACCTGGACACTCTACAGGAAGCACATCAACAAATTAGAGCAGTTCCATCAAAGGGCTCTCCGCAGCATACTCGGCATCCGGTGGCAAGACCGCATCACCAATATTGAGGTCCTCAACCGGTCAAGCTCACAAAGCATAGTAAGCATGCTCGTCAAAGCCCAACTGAGATGGGTCGGCCATGTCATCCACATGGAAGACCACCGAATGCCCAAACAGCTGCTGTACGGCGAACTCGCAAGTGGCAAAAGAAATCTTGGGAGGCCAAAAAAGCGGTTCAAAGACATTATAAAGGAAAACCTTCAGCTCGCAAAGGTAACCCCCAAAGAACTCAAAAGAACTGCCACCGAAAGAAACGCCTGGCCAGCAGAAACAGTGATACAAACTACAGGGAGAGACTGACGACCAGAAGAGAGAGGAGACATAAGCCAACCACCACAACCACGACATTCCAGTGTCCCCTCTACAACAGACATTGTACATCCAAGATCGGATTGCACAGCCACATACGCGTCCACAGATGAGCTGCAGGATTCATAGTCATCTTCGGCAACGAAGGACTACCTACACACCACTATATTCCTTCAAAATATAATAAAAGGTCGAAACATTGTGGTAAATACACATTCCATAAAAAACTGTTTTATCAACACCATGCTTAATACTTTCTTAAATAAAAATTAAAACCAAAAAGCCTTTAAGTTTTCACTGCGACTTTGACCATTCAATCACAAAAGCAACAAATGTTTATAATGGATGAAAGTAGCATAAAGATCTCAATATCCCTGAGTTTAAAAAGTGACATTATCTCTGTTATGAATGTAAATAGCAAATTACTAATGGATGAAATAGTATTAGTAGCTTAAGTGAAAGTAGTAGGTCTCTGCAATCGAGTCATTTGCCTTTCATCCTGGTATGAAGTATACTGTCAGGGCCATTTTTTCTACCGTCAGCCAGCTGTGCCCCATACGTCTGACATCTACCCCCAGATTTCATACCCTGATGTATCTCGGCCTTCCTCTCTGTTCTGCCATTTTCGCTATTTCCTCTATAAACCTGCGCTTGTCTGCCTGTAAGTTCCACTCCTCTGTTGTTTTGTGTGTATTCTTCTTGTGCAGCTCTTTCAGCTAGTCCCGTTTTGTAAGTGTTTCCATGTGCTCCCTCTACTGCTGTGTTTTGTCTATCGACTCTTTAGAGATCAAACTGGAAATGAGTTTTATATATACTTTGGTATAAGTTCTGCCAAAGATTTTAGTTTTGTGATGCTAGTTGGAGCTTCTGTGGCAAGAAACTGCATGCTGTATTTGGCCCTCTTTTCTTAGTTTCCATTTGTGCTTTTAATTCTATTGATCCATAGCGTAAACTTACCAATACAAGATTATGGTCTAAACCTTTGTTAGCCCATTTTTACACTTAAAAACATCTTCCACTGATCTGAATTTCTTGCACACACAAATGTGGTCTATCCAATTTCCAGCTGTGTGGTCAGAGATATCCAGGTTGTCTTTTATGTATCCTTTTGCATGAAAAAATGCCTCCTCCTTTGACGACGTTGTTACCTGCACACAAGTCCTTCAGTCTTTCACCAATGTCTCCTCTTCTCTTATTCCACAGCGTCTCATGACCACTTTATCACCTGTGTTACCTCATCCTATCTTTGCATTATTATATTTTATGAGGATATTGACTTTGGCCATATATTCCTCCTATATCTGCTATTGTTGACCGTCAAACTAGTCCTTGGTTTCCTCCCCATTATCATTTGTGGGGACATAGCATTGGATAGCATTTAGGTCGACGTACCTGTTCTCTGTAGTATAGGATGCTCTTACTGATATTATTCCAACACGATCATGGCTTTTTCTGCTTTCCTCGGGAGCATGAAAGCTACACCTTCTTTAAGCCTTGCTTTTTCATCTGGGTGGCCAGAGTATAAAAAGCTCTCCAGGCTCTAATCTTTCTGATTTCATATCGTTTCTGCAAGTCTCAATTTAACTATACTGTTATCCTTCCTTTCCCTAGCTACCTGGAAAACCCTATCCGTTTAAAATATCATTCCACTGCTCCATGTTCCTATCTTTGTTATAATCTCGTTTGACATTAGTTTAACAGATAGGGACTTCGTTGCCATCTGCCACTAGTGAAAGAACTGTATCTCTCTTATGGGTGAAATTTAGCATGCATATCACACTAATGAGTAAAAGTAGCACACCTCAGCTCAGCAGAAAGAACAAAAAATCCCTCTACAAAGCACATACCTTTCCAGAATCAAGCTCTTCATTGTACTCCTCTGACCAATGACGCTTCTTGCTCAGCTTTTCTTCCTCTATCTCTTGGTCAACATGATTTTTGCCTCCATCCCATGATGATACTGAAATGAGGAGAATAGCAAGAATGTACCAGCACCACTATACAACACTGACAATAAGAAGGTGAAAACTAGCAATACATCCATCTATTAAAAAACATTAACAGTTGCTGAAGGAAGAGGTAACTCTTTTAATCCTGGCCGTACCCCCAAGGACTCTGTACCCGTTCTGGGGCAGCCACGCCATATAAGTTACGAGTACTCTTTGATTTTAAGAAAATTTGGCTGTTATGTTAGAAATTGAATGTACTATTTGAAAATGTATGTGGTTAGGAATTACACCAATTCCACAATGTAGATTTTGAGGTGTATTCCATCCTCCAACTTGACCCTGATTGCCGCGCCCACGACGTCCCCTTTGATTTACAAATCTACCCCTACGCATCGGTACTTCACGAAATCCAGTACTGGTCCCTTCACCATGATCTGAATCATTATTAGATGAGTCTAATTCCTGTTTGTTATCATCCACAATGGAATATACAGCACTGTCATTAGTCTAATTCCACCTCACAATCCAGCGCTACTTCTCTAAGTACTTCGTCGATCATGAACGTACGTTTTTGAGACGTTCTTCAAGCTTCTACACCCATCAAAAACACAAAAATCGCCGTTCATTGTTAAAATATAACTATTCAGACAGAATAAGAATTTTGCATACTTCGGTAGTTACAAGCAAAACTAGCTGTTTTATGTTTTTGTAAGTGTTTTATGGCACTTGCAACACAACACAATAAGGTCATATAAGTGCCGAAGGTTAGAGGTGTTACAGGAGAGTAACAAACATAAAAAAGAAGGAGGGAGGTAAAGACGATAGATGTTTGATAGGAAAGAAGAAGCAAACCACACCAGAGCATCCACCAACCACCCACATAAGCTGTTTGACATGATCGTATAGCTGTTCCGAGTTTACTCGTAGCCCGGTCTAGTCCTCGTTATGAGTCTAGCTGTAGCCCGGATAAAAAGAGTTAAGACCAAAAAGAAAAATGGAAAAAAACTCACCATTTCCCAGAGTCAGACTAGAACCGCCAATATCTCGTGCAATCTTGGGAACTCTTGTGCCGTCCCACTGAGCTTTAAGTTTGGAATGGTCCCCATTCTTCCTGGGGGCTAGGTCGTCCTTTACATAGTGATTCCACGCTTGGACAGAAGCTGGACAGAGATGTGCAACAGGAAGACATTACAAGCCAAGAAAGGTTTCCCAACTTCCCTAGAGGAAGAAATTTTTTTTTTCGTCAACATAAGATGCCAGTTATGAGACAAGATTGACATAAAGCACAAATGCATGGTATCGAGAGATTTAATTATACCCACACAGACATATATGCACATGCTACCACAGTGTGTCATCATCTCCTGCCCCTCCGCCCCCTCTTTCAAATAAAATAATAATTATTAATATTAATTTGACAGATAATCATTAAAAGCATTTGTATAGCGCATAACCCCGCTCTACCGCAAGCTCTGTGCGTTTTACACTTATATTAATACCCCAGCAGACAACAGAACACTCAGAAACATTATCAGCTTCCTGGGAAGCATACACTGCAAGCAGCTGATTAAGCCATCAAACACTAACAAACTTGACAAGATCTTTCACTGTCTATAGCTGGGTACCCATTCCCACCTGGCCGAAGTGAGGACAATTTGTGTAAAGTGCCTTCCCAAGTCAAGGACATGTTTGGATCCTGACAAGATTCGAACCCGTGACCTTACGGTTGCAAGTCTGACAGCCTAACTAATAGGCCACAGACGCCACCGCTAAGCCAGTCAGGCGTCGCTACAGCAGAAAGAAGGCTACTAAATAAGATTTTAATGATTACCCTTGGAATAGCAATGTCAGAAAAATATTAACCTTGAAAAAAACTTGCAGAGAGAGTAAACTGCACCAGAGCCTCCAACCACAAATGAGTTGGCAAGGACAAACCCAGTTCCTTCCTAAGACAATGAGCCATCAAACAACATAATTATGTCCCTCAAACACATACGATTCTGGAAAAAAAGATGACATTTCCCTCTCCACAACACAACTGCAGTTTACAAAATGGAAGTTCTGGGGTAAAACTTGATATAATCATCATCCCCCCCCCCCCAAAAAATAAATCAAAATCATGAAAATTGGTCATTCCTGATTCACACATGAGAGATGGGGCAAGTCGTGATCTCTCTATGACTCACCCGTGGGGTCAGAAACACACCAAAAAGTAACTAAACACCAACCTTTACTCTTGTACGGCACAAAACTCTCTCTTGGGGGAGGAGTGTCGATCGTCTTCTCCACCCATTCATAATCTTCCTCCGAGTGGCTGCTCTTGGAGGCCCGCTTGTTCCGACCTTTGCTATTTTGGCTGCTGTCGGAGGAGTCTGAGTCACACCTGCTGCGTTTCTGTTTCTTGTACGTGTGCCTTTTGTCGTAAGAGGAATCGCTGTCAGAACTGTCCCAATCTTTGCGATACTTTTTCTTCTGTTTTTCTACTTTCACTTTCTTGTGTTTGTGTTTCTTCTTCTTTTTTGAAGAAACTGAATCACTCCGAGATGAACTGTCATCCCGAACCTCATCATCTCTACCACTTGCATCCTGATCCTTGTGCTTCTGCTTTTTTTTGTGTTTTTTGACTTTCCGAAGCCCACTGTCACTGGCTGCAGAACTGCTAGGGGATACCAGGAGGCCCCTTGTGTCAGAAATATCCACTGGAGTACGAGGCACTTCTAACTCAAAAGGGGACTTCTTTTCCCTCTTCCTGTCCGGAGACTTCAGTCCAAAGAGAGATTTTCTAGGGACATCCTTTTTCTCCGATTTCGTATTAAGTCTTTGAGAACTAGAACCATCATTGTCAGTGGGCTTAATCTTTTCTGAAGAGGACGTCACAGACGAGAAGAAAAACGATTTATTGCTGAAACCATTCTCCACATCAGATTTTTGTAGCTTTGACGAGTGCCCATTTGAAGAGGACCCTGAAAAATGGACAAATATGATATGAGCCAAAGAGAAGGGGAAATAAAATTATGGCACCAGTAAGAACAAGTCGTCTTCACAGGACAGAGAAGTCAAATCAACCCTTGAGAAATCACCAATTTTATGAACGTCATATATATTATACTGCATCAGTCCACTCAGGAAGGAATAGAACATGCTTTATAAATTCCACATGTCTGATGATTTGAGTGCAAAAACCCTCCAATAACTAAATCAAACAATAATGTCATAAAAATACCAATACGAAGTTGCAAGGTGAATATTACTGAATTTTTGTGGAAAGTATGTCTCCTTTATAAAGAAAGGTATACTGGGAAGTTTTAATTATTTTAGCACTGTCTGAGTGCATTTCTTTGATCAATAAATAAATTTGTCAATACTTTATGTCTGATTTTTGTACCGATAGTCATGGCAGCAGCCACGATATTCCGTCTTGGAAGAGAGCGAGAAATTGAGATTGCCACTGAGGGTGCCCCACTTGGCTCTTTGATAATGAAAATTGAAAATAAAAACGAAGACTAGACTAAGCTTTCTATTTTCAAACTTTTCAATTGTCAGCTAACTCATTTTTGTTTTAAAGGTTAAACATGCGTTCGTGGCCAGCATAATTTCAAAAACTAAATCAATAGTACTGAAGTAATCAAAGGCATTGATATCAAATAAATAAAAAATGAGTTTCCAGAATTGTTTAAAACCCCCCATAACGTTACGACCCGAAGGAATATTAATATCCACTGACGCAACCATATTGTAGCAGTGTAAATGGCATCTTAGAACCGTGCAATGAAGTTGCGCCAAGGCTTCCCTGACCAAACCTATCACCACTCTTCACTGATTCATCAATTATTAATACTAAGCTCCAAAATCAAATGAGTATCACCTCTCATAAAAGACAGGGAGCAACCAAAGGCCAAAAGCAAAAAATCAAAGCTGGAAAAGATCAACTTGGACATCATTTGCAGGGCCATTAATTTTCATGCAGGAGGGGGGAAAATGCTTTGATGTGTGTACTGGTACTCAAGTTCGGTGTGGAGCAAACTTAAAGAACAACTGACAGTAGTGGGGAAAACACAGGTACTTCTTTCAGGTGTACATGCACATATCATTTTGTAACATGGATGGTTGTCTTGAATTTTTATCGATGTTCACTTTATTTTTAAAAAAGCTTAATTATCAAAACAATCAAAAGACCCTTCCCTTGGGAACAAAAACCCATTAGCAACTCCAGCTCCCTGCCACCTGATGTCCCAATGTTAAGTACAGACACATCGATAAATTATTATTATACTGTACACGTTTTTCTGCAATGAAAAGTTAAGTGGAAATTATTTTTGTCCAAGATCCCAAATTATTTGATTAAAAAAACATTAAAAACAAAACATCCCAACCCATAAAATCAATGTTTAGTGAGTAAAGAAAGGACATTAAGTTAAAATTTAAATATGATCATGTCGCCTTAAAGTAAGGGACAAGGCAATTTTTTAGAAAGCAAGTAAGGAAAAAGTACATGTGGCAAACATGCTCTTTCCACAACATGATAAAACTATAAAAGAGCTCACTCCCATTGTTTTGGGGTTTTTTTGTTTTTTTTTTAGTAAGTGTTTTACGGCACTTGAAACACAATAAGGTCAAATAGTGCCGAAGACTAGAGGTGTTACAAGAGAGTAATGAACAAAAAAGAAAGAGGGGAGACAAAGACGATACACATCTGACTGGAAAGAAGAAGCAAACCACACCACAGCACGCGCCAACCACCCACTCTCCCATTGTTAAATGCTAATTATACAAAACTAGTGAATATGGTCCTCATTAGAATGCTTGTTAAGAAGAAACAAGTTGCAGAAGGTGAACACAGACCTGCCATTCTATGAAATCTAAAAATCGGGACCTCGGCGGGAAAAAAATCGGGATTTGATTGGTGAAAAAAATCGGGATCAACGACAAATGAGTCCAGGGTGACTACCAAGCTCACTAAAATATTTTCCAAGAGTTTGCATAAATATATAAAAATGAATGTATATGCCCTGTGTGTCTGTGTGAGTGTGTGTGCGCTTAATCATTATTTTTTTTTTTTAATCTTGAAGTATCATGTTAAGCACTCCTTTCATAGTCCAAGTGCCGTGTGCCCCCCCCCCCCCCCGATAAGTCCCGAAAGATGTTTCAACTAGTGTGCATGAACTTAAGTTGACCCCCGACACACGTAGAACTCCCATGCCGAAGTCATGTAGCATGATGCAAACGCGCGATTGAAACCATTTTACTGACTGGACTTGATGGGCCCCACTAAGCAAAGCTCGGACAAAGCTTGTTTTGAAAGTAACAGCAAAACTATGAATAATATTGACCATTTATATATCACAATTCAAACAGTTATCAGGCCATCAACAGAGAATTCTGAGTGGAAACTAAAGCGAAAGTAGACCTCTTGAGAATTGTTCGTTTTTGTAGAGGTTATACGCCGCTCGCAACTGCATATAAGTCTCCCGAGAATGTCCCATGTCAAAATGCCAAATCGATATTGCTTCCGTTATAGAGTTGAAATAACACATGCAAGCAAAGATCCAAAACAACTTGGGGTGAGTCAACTACTCAATCCAGCATCGATATTTAGGAAAACAGGGCTCTGAGTTCCTGCTGACAAAAAGTTTAACGGGTGCTTCCCGCAACAGAGAAGAAGGCAAAGCAAGTCTTTTTAAAGAAAAATCCAGTGCAACAAACTGAACTAAAAAACCGGGACACACGCTATCGAAATCGGGATGCCCGAGATTTGGGGCTAAAGAATCGGGATGAGTGGCAGGTCTGTGAACATCTGAATGCGCATACTACAATAGTAACTAATCAGCTCATTATAAAATTGGAAAACCTACAAACAGATGGAAACTCCTCGCCACAGAGGCATCAGACTTTCTCTGACAATGTTCTTGCCTATTCAACAAGAAGCACTTCTACCATCACTATTTATTGCTTGTGTTTTTACAGTGACTCAGGCAGAAACAATGAGGTCAAGGAAATTGAGAAACAGAGAAAAACATGATGAAAGAATAAAATGACAGAAAAAGAGAGAAGGACCATGCACTAGTGCCCTCCTTGCCACATCAATTATCTACTGAAACTAATCTAGATATGAAAATCCAGTTGAAAAAATGGCCCTCTAAAAATTCTGCATATCAGCAACTTTACTCTTTGTCACATAAGGAAAAGGATTTGGAAGCAATGCCATGTGGGGTAGTGACAAGTGCTATGAGCTTCTTCACACAACAAAAACAAAAGTAGCACTAACAACACACTGGTCACAAATTCACATAACAATCACAAAAAAGCGAGATGAAAAGCCCCTATTCCAAAGCACAGATACCCACAAGATACTCATTCCAAAAAAAAAAATTTTTTTTTAATGAATGCACCTCGTACTAATTGAAAATTGCAAAGAACAGGACCTGATTTAGGATGAAAGGGGGTAAATAATGAGTGGGGAAAATTAGATCAAAGTTAAGTGCTCAGCAGGAGGGCGGGAAAGCAAACAGAGAGGAAGTGAAATGTTGATTTACCTTTGGACTCTACGGTCCACCCAGTGGTGGAATTGACACTGTTAGTGCTAGAGCAGGAGCCCCGGGGGCTCGGGGCACAGTCCTGGGGCTGGACCAGCCAGTTCCCCGCGGTGGCCTTTACCCTGGCCGAGCAGCTGGGTGTGGAGGAGGAGGATGATGAGACATTTACAACAGGAGGGAGCTCCAAAGCCACAACGCCACCCTTACCTGCTGCCGAGGCTTGAAACAGGGCGGAGGAGGAAGAGGTGGTGGTGGAGGTGGTGGTGGTGGTGGCGGTGTTGCCTTGAGCATTGACTTTTTTCGATACCCAAGAATGCTGAGATGAGGAGGAGGGGGAGGAAGAACCTTTCCAGCGGTGAGTGTCTGATGAGCGAGGGGACTGCTTAATGCCATTTTGACTATGCATCTGGTGGACATGAGGGGAGCGGGAGCCATCTTTTGTTTGGGACAAATTCTGCATGTCTGACGATACAGACGTCTTGTGAGTGGAGGAAATGCCACTTTTGTGTCCATCTCCAGAGTCAGACGGCAATGGTATTGACCTGACAGAAGCGTAGTTGTGATGATGGTGGTGATCCCCTGATGCCTGAATGTAGCTGCCACCAGAAGCAGATGACGATGTACTAGCAACATCTGTAGTCCTGTGATGAGGCGATTTGTTAAGTCGAACAGAGTTACCACCAGCACTGTTGTTTTCTTGCTCTGAGTCAGAATCATCATTGTATGGCACAAGACCAGAGGACTTTAATTGAGCTGCAGGTTTGTTGCTCCCACCACCGTTGACCACCTTTGACTTGCCATCAGGAGACTTCTCCATGGTAGTAGAATTCCCATGTTTGATCTGAAGAACAATACGCTTGCCATCGTCCTTCTGCTGCTGCAAGTGTAACTGCTTTTTCTGCTGAGGGGTTAAGATTGGGAAGGATATCTTGTTGTGAGCACCAGGCAAAGCTGAGGGTGACGTGCCATGAGGAACAATCTTCGGACCATTTGCAACAGAAGAGGATGAAAGCGATGAACCTGCAGGCTGCTGTCTCTTGATGGGGGTGCCCAACTCACTAGTCGCTTTTCCTGAGTGGAAAGAAAAAATATATTGTTCACTTCTATTAAGCGTTGGGGTTTTTTTCCAGTCAAATGAGTTGAGCTTTCCACCCCCTTAAAAACAGAACCATCTATTGATCAAGGTTGCCCCTAAGATTTAATATATCTGGAAATAAAGTGACTGTAAGCACACAAATATAATAACTGTAACCATATACACAACATGGAATACATGCTGTCATAAACAGAATGGGAAATGAAAAAATAACAGACCAGAACTGAGGATATTGCCCCAAAAGTTAACCTGTTTTTTCAAGTGCACTACTATTCAACAAACGCACAAATTAAATAATAATAATAATGGATTGCATTTATATAGCGCATATCCACTTATGCAATGCTCTATGCGCTTAACATGATACATATAATGGATTTACAAATCAATTTTAAAGATACATAGTGTTACATACTCAAGCAAACACATATTCACTCACGCACGCACCACACACATATACATACTCACATACATACATATGCACATACGCACATACAAACTCACAACGATCTACAGCTTGGATGCATTCTGTCTAATCGAAATATGATGAAAATAGAAATGATTTTAGTTTCTTCTTAAAAATTTCTAGATTTTCTGCTTCTCTGATAGTTTTTGGAAGCCTATTCCAAACAAGTGGGGCAAAATATGAAAAAGAGCGTTGGCCATATGATTTGAAATTTATTTTAGGCTTAACAAGGGTTGTTTTGTCACTAGATGATCTGAGCGTTCTAGGAGGCACATAGGGTGTTAAAAGCTGTTTTAGATAGTCCGGTGATAAATCATTTAAGCACTTGTAGCAAGTTAAACAGATTTTATATATGATACGCTCTTTCACTGGGAGCCAGTGTAATGCTTTTAAAATAGGAGTCACATGATCATGCTTTAGTTTTTTAGTAATTATTTTGGCAGCAATATTTTGTACTCTTTGTAGTTGTTGTAACTGTTCATCAGGTACACCAGCCAGTAAGGAATTGCAATTAATAGGGTACAAAAAAGTTAAAAACCATGCTTGAAAGTACAAAGCAATACATTTGTCACCGCTGCTGAAATGGTGAAAAGAAACCAAAAGACCACAAAAAGTCATGATGTGGGAGAGGACAGGTTCACACAAATGATTTTTTTTTTTAAAGCAAAAACATTAGTCAAATATGAGAAGCCTTTCTATACACTCCATAAATTTGTATTGCTGTGCGAGACACAAATAGGTTATTTCATATGCAAAGAGCTGTGGTCCCAAAGGTTAGGAATAAGAAGAAGGAAAGAAAGAAGGCAGAACCGACACACAAAATTAGCATTACACATGAAAATGTCAGCACAGCAATTAAAGTGATAAGCCACCATAATTACAGAAGCCCTATCATCTGCTGAGAGGTTATCCATTATAAAGGAACAATATATATTTCAAATGACACATAATGAAAATATTTAAGACATTTTGCTATTATGTCACAATGTGAAGGCAGCAACTCTGCATTACCATGAATCCCATTGACCATTTGGGTTTTCTCCTGCTTCAAATGGTTTTGTATCATCACGCTGGAGAATGGAACCTGAAAAATTCAAGGAGTAAAATTCAATAAACTATGCCAAGGTCACCCTCTAAAAGCCTGCTAATTCTATTTTCACAAGTGTTTTCTGGAAAGCACAAGTTTAACGATTAAAACTTAGTGCAATTCCTTATAAACAATAGTGTGCTTTTTTCTTTTTTTTCTTGCCATTTAAGAGAAGAACAAGGATAAAACAAACCTCAAAAGGGTGACTAGGGAACACTGACACATTACTAAATCACTGAATGTAAACCTGAGGGGTACGTAGTTTGAATACAGAAGAGATAACTATTTGGGCATATCATGATAAACCAGTGTAAACACATGTGCATAAGGTGAGGTGGGGTACTCAAAAGATGCAATAAATTCCCTGAGTAGAAGAGAACAAGTCATAATATTTCGCCTACGAACACAACACATCCCACTAAATTCATACCTTAATAGGATCCGCAAGGAAACCCCACCCGACTGCCCGTTGTGCGACTGCCAGGATAAAACAGTACCACACCACCTCTTTAACTGCCCTGCATTTTGCGACCCGCGTAGCACCTACCTACCTGCCTCCCCAGACATCGGAAATACTCTATACAGCCACAAAGCACAGCTGATTAAAACCTGTAAATTCTTTGCCATATCGACAGACCGAAGGGCTCGAACCCAAATGGCCGCTGGATCGTAAAAGTAAAAGTAAAGTGAAGTAGGTGAGGTGGGGTGGCTTGACTTGACTTTTTTGACAAAATTTAAATATTGACTTTTAGTGAGTGTTTTATCATCACATTTCTTCAAGGTCCTTTAGACCTGCATGTGAGCCTCAACCAGATTGTCTGAAAATTTTGCGCCCCCCCCCCAAAAAAAAACCCCCCCAGCTTTTGTGGGAGTCATAAGGAAGGACTACCGAGTAACGAGCGACCACCCCAACAAACACAAAATAAAGAAAAGACCTAACCCTAGGCCTACCCCAAAAAAGAACTTGCAACTGGCCTCATGTAAAAAGGCCAGCACAAGTCCAAAATTAAAAAATTTAAAAAAACCACACTCCAAAACAAACAAGGAGCATTAATATGGCCTACATCTAGACCTAGATTTAGATATATCTAGATCTACATTGCTATAAAATAGGGTTTGATACAATAACACACAATAGAATAGGGAATATGAATCCTCCATATATAATCTAGATCTAAATCTAGATCTAGATCTAGTAATCTAAATAAATCTAGATCTAGATATAGATCTTGTAGAACAAGTGAATAGGAATAGGCCTTGAACTAGAAATCTGCACCCGATTCCGAACAGAGGGACTCAGCTGAGTCTAGATTCTAGATCTAGATCTATATCTACATTAGATCTATATCTAGATTCTAGATCTAGATATTCTAAATAAATAAATAATTCACGCACCTGATGAAATGCTTTTTACCAACATTAATATTACAGCACAACCTATGATAGAGTTTGACACGATAGAATTGGAATATGAATCCTCCATTGAAGATAAATAATGATCTATATTATAAATCTAGATCTAGATTCTGTTAGAAGTGAGTCGGACTTGAATGAATCCACAGGATCTGAACAATTGAATTAGTCAACAAACGAAATTCAAAATGGCCGCTCTAGCAAGAAACTGAAAGTAGATAATTTAGGTCGTCGTCCTTTTTCGTATTCGCATTTCTACTCAGGTTCCGACAATTATGTCGGAAACGCCGACGTCGGCACGAAAACGAAAGTGCTGACAAAGCCGGCGGGAGAAAAGGGGGGCGCTGGCAGTCGGCCAGGCCTCGCACTGCGTACGTTGACTGATACAGGTGGGCCTACTGATAGCATCGGCCGGCTCGCGATTGTCGGATTTCAGACGATTGTCGGCAAACATGCAGGTCTAGGTCCTTAAAAAAAAAAAAAGTAATAATTAGAAAAAAATAAACTGTATCTGTATTTTTTTTAAAAACCTTTACCGAATGGGCCTCAGTTATACAAGCAGTATGTACCAGATACCTGTTATATCACAAGTCATGGCTTGCTCTCGAGCAAATATGTCAAATAAAAAATAAAAAAATTTTTGTCATAAAATCCCTACCTTGACTGGAGACGAGTTCTTCGCATGAACGTTGTTAGGACCGGAATGAGCAGCACTGATGTTTCTATTTATGCGTGCATAGAACAAGACATATGCATCCGAATTGAACACTGTGTTTGCATTCACTTGATGAACCTGGGAAACAAAGAGAAAAGATATCAAATCATTTCAGAACTCTATGTTGTCAAAGTCTGTCATGAATACCAAACTAGACACCTAGAGTATACTCAAATTGAAAGCAAAATAGAGCCAGTACATATTTGAAAGCATTCCAGTAGCAATAGTTTCATTTACATGAGAAGGGACTCTCATCACCTCTTGTCATAACACACTGCTTTTTTATCATGTGCTTAGAATCCACCATTGCTGATCCTAAAATGAACTCTGCAGTGTTTTTATATATATCACATTATCATCTATTTTATATTTTTATTAGAGTAGAGGGTTTTTACGGCACTCGCAACTGCATAAAGTCATATGAGCGCCAAGGGGTGGGTGTCAATACAAAAGTCTTTACAGGGAATCAGACTTACTCTGCTCACCTCTCTAGCTTCAACAGCACAAGGTCTGCTTCGACTATCAAAGCACCCCGGAAATAGGTCACAAGAGAGTGACAAACATACAAAAGAAGTAGAGGATAATGACAATAGCAAGGATTACGAAAGAAAAAGCAGCAGTCCCCTGTTGTAGATCAGGCACAGATGACACGATGAATCAGCTCATTTACAATTCTACTGTACTTGAACGAGAAATGTCCCCCTTTAGGAATGGCTTAAAGACACTACAGTCGGTGGCACTGCCCCGGGGGGAGGTTATTATCTATGTGTGCTTCACTATGAATGATGTTCACAAGGGATGCCTTTCCAATGAACTAAAATCAGGCAAGTACATGTCAATGTTATCTGTTTGCCATACTGTGACGAGCATGGCACTTCCAGTATTGGAGTTTTGACATCTTTTAACTTGCGCAAATGATGTTTCTGATTGTCTTCCGAAGTCCAAAATCAGCTTAGCTGGCCACTCATTTTTGAAGAGGAACGTGGCCGTCCTATACACTGTAATTATAATGTAAAATTTTTTTTCAAGAAATGGGAAGTAGCCGTTTGTACAGGTGATTGTCTTATACAGGAAGCCATTGGAGTAAGTTGGACTGTATATTGCATAAAAGCACTATTTAAAAACTTGTATGTTTCAACATTTTTCAACTGACCTTTAAGAATTACTCACACATTTAAAAAAAGCCAGACTGATCAACACATATATCACTTGACAAATAGGGGCTTGATAAAGACATAAAGTACATAGCACAGAAGGAGAAAAACGGGAAATGAACGCATAGTCACTGATACAAAAGCAACATTACTTTAAAGCATAAATAAAGTTGTACTTACTGATGAGTCATTCATGCAGTACCATGTCTTGCTTGGAGACTTGACATAGCTGTAATAATGTCCGTGATCACTGCTGTGACCAGAGTGGACAACCACTCCATATAAATGGTAAAGGACAGGTTCTCCCTGCAAATGAAAATTAAAATAAATTGGGAGTATTGTATAAGCCAAGAAATAACACTATGTCCTCCAGTCCACATACTCCTGGACCAAAAGGCAAAAGTACATTCCCCACCTCACAAAGGCTTGATCTAGGAACCAAGTAGGGATTTTTTTTTTACTTGAACAAACCTAGGTATCTGAAGGAAAGAGAAAGTTTTAGTTTTAGTAAGAGTTTTCAGCATTTGCAACAAAATAAGGTCATATGAGTACCGCAGATTAGAGGTGTTACAAGAGAGTAACAAACACAAAAAAGGACAGATAAGGATGATAGGTGGGGGGGGGCTGCTGGGTTTTTTTTGGTAAGTGTTTTACTGCGCTCGCAACTACATAAGGTCATATGAGCGTGCGGGACACATTAAACTTTTAGAGTTGGTAGGAAATTTTTTATTTTGTCCGGGTGGCGGCCGAAGCCTACTCTTATAGATTTTATACCACCAAGGGATCTTTAATGTGCGCAACTTGCACACGCGTCCTCGGAGATTTTTCGCCCTTGTCCAAGAAGGCTATGTGTAGACCTTTCCTACCAGAAGATCAGGAGTGTGGCTGAAAGACAGCAGTAAGAATGAGCCAAGGAGCACCAGTAGAAAGTCTGCAAAAAGAGTCAGGAGCCCAGAGGAGGTGAGGGGGTGGGGGCAGAAAGAGGAGACGAAAGCAGACGATAGAACATAGCTAGAGAGCAGGAAAGAAGGTGAAAGGAGACAATTTTAGAGAGGAAATGTTTTCGGTCGCTACCCGAATTCGAACCCGGGACCTTTGAATGAGAGGCCAACACCTTAACCTCCAGGCCATGAGAGCCCCCTGATAAGTGTTTGATGGGAAAAAAGAAGCAAACCCACCAGAGCAAACCACGAAAAGAGGAAACTACAGCACTGATCAGAATATCGTATACTGGAGGCACTACAATGTAGTCAAATCACAAGAACACTGGATTGTTTTTACACAAGTGATAGCAATATACAAGTGGGGACATAAATTGCCCTGAAATATTTCACAATACCATAAAACGTATGAATAAGTAATACATCACTGTAACTGTCAACAGTGCAAATCTTTACTGCACTGCTGACGAAGTTGAGTCTAACAAGCACTGGAAAACAGACAAAAGAGTAGCAATACACAGGTGAACCTTAAAAGTTCCCTTTCATACTGCTTAATGTTGAAAACTAAAAGTCACTTTGTCATGAAGATCAAGTTGGAAAGCTAACCTGTTTTTGGCTCATAAAATTTCTTAAGTTGACTTTTTCTGGATAACGTATGAACCTGTTGATTTTTCCGGACAAGTGACGGTTGAAATCAAATCTGGGGAAAGAAAAACATGAAAACTTAACAGTTACGTGAAGAAGTAAAGGCAAACTTAATATTTCCAAATTTCAAGTCATGTCTTGTCTTGTCTTATTAAAACATCAAACTTGTCATCCACAAGCAGCATAAATTACATAAACAAACTGTAAATACACACATTCAAACAATAACAGTCCTCAACAATTTGCAACTTTAAGTAGCCGCGAATCTTATGACCTGACAGTGTTTTAACAGAAAAAAAAACATGAATGAAAATTTGCCCACAATTCAAAGACGCTAAAAAGACTCAATGTAGGTATCAGAAACTACATTTTCAAACTTGCTGTATGCCAAATTTATCTGTTCCATTTGAAAGGCCTATATCCATTTAGCATTTTGGTACCATTCTTTAACCTCTCCGTCAATTTTTAAGAAAATTGTAGTTGTTTAAAATTCGATCAAATTTGTTAAAGTTAGTCACTGGCTGCAACCCCATGTTTGACAGACAATAAAAAAGTACCAAGAGCACTAAACATCTCCACATTAACAGATTACAATCACTATATCAAATATATGGAGCCTAATTTTTTTCCAGACTGTGAGATCATTACAAATCAGTATTTTATCGCCTCAAACGCGATGATCTGTCGTTATTTCGACAAAAACACCGAGCGTTGACCCGGGCCCCCGCGGCGAGCGAGTCGGCTCTATACCGTAGTGTACCCCACATGTGGGGTCACAGGCTTTCCAAGTCTCGCGGAAGGATTGATGAAAAATAATTCCAAGTTGATTACTTTATTCTAATAGGAAATAAACTGATCTTTTAATTACTATCCTTTTAAGCTGGTATTTTACATATTTTGAGTAAAAAGTGATCTTTAAACATTTTGACGGTATTTTTTTAAGCTTTCTATTTAGACGCCAAAGGCTAAACATATATCACAAGAAAGCCCGTTCAAAGCTCTACAGTTCTCCGCCGATGACAAGACGGTATTTAATCATCCCTCTTTCCGCGAAGCATTTGAATACACGCGTGTCAATTTTTCAACCGGCCTGCCAGGCATTCCGACCGCGAGGGGCTTCGCTTTCGTCGGCGATTATCCAGCTCCTAACAATCGGACATATAAACAACTTACACCATTGTAACGAGGAAAAGCTGAACTTTTACAAGGTGTACGACATTTGGTGTTTTATAGCGAAAGAGCAAAGAAACAGCGATCGGAATTACCCCGATTTCACCGATACCACGCGGTCGGAAGGCCGCAAGGCCGTGTTTACGCTACCTACTCAATGCAAGAAGTACTCTCCTGGAAGTGCTGCATACCCAAGATCTATAAGACTAACTAACTTCACACGTAAAAAAATGGACAAATTATGGTGATAGTGGAGAAGTACTAAAAGTTTTAAGAGACAATATCAATAACAATAGACAGATTTAATACTCACCTGTTGAGCTGCAGAGTCAGCACATTTGGAGCCTTTTGAATAGTGAATCTTTTTTGTGCCCTCACCTTGTTTTTGCATCTGTTGAAATGATATTTGGAAAGGAATGAAGCCACAAGCAAATCAAATCCTTTAAGACTAATACACTCCAGCATACACGAAGCACTTTATTGATTTTAGCAAATTTTTAAAAATTAACGATTCCTACTCAAGTCTTAGCAAATTCAGTCATGTCCAATGCAATGCTGGTGAATGCAAGTTTATTGTGTCCGAAAATTTGAGAACAAAGTTAGGTGCACCTTCAGGAATACCACCTTTGTTTATTGTAGTGAGAACAAAATATTTAATCTTATCACAGATTAAAACAAGAGGAAAAATATGAACATACTTTGGACACTTGTAAGCATTGTCATTGTCCAGAGTTTCAGGCTTCACATACTTTAACAGTGCATCCTCAACAGTATTGACTCCCTGAAAGTGAAAAAGAAACAAACAAAATACAGAAACTGGACTTACACCTTCCCTCTTTTATAAGCCGAGGTTAGATTTTTAAATGCTCTGAATCTTTGTCCACAGAATGTACAAATACTAAAAACTTGCATATTTTCAAAATTTCATCCACACAAAAAAATTTGCATGCGTCAAAATTTCAAATACATAAAAAAGAGCTCACCTTTTTGGGTTTCCTTTTCAAAATAAGAGACAAGCATTGATAACCAAGAACTATCTGTAAAAACAAACTAAACACAACAGTTTTGTTATTTGGTTTTAGTGGGGGGGGGGTTTCTGGGGTTTAAAAAAAATTATAGTAGAGGGTATTACGGCGCTCGCAACAGCATAAGGTCATACGAGCGCCAAGGGGTGGGTGTCAACAGAAAAGTCTTTACAGGGAATCAGACTTGTTCTGCTAACCTCTCTAGCTTCAACAGCACAAAAGGTCTGCTTCGACTATCAAGGCACCCTGGAAATAGCAAGTCATAAGAGAATGACAAACATACACAAGAAGCAGAGGTAGACCTGCCTGTGAGCCTCAACCAGATTGTCTGAAAATTTTGCGCACCCTCCCCCCCCCCCCCCCCAATAACTTATAACAGCATTTAAATTGTGGGTGTCATAAAAGGAAGGACTTCCGAGTAACGAGCGACCACCCGAACAAACACAATAAAGAAGAGACCTAACCCTAACCAAAAAAAACAAACCTGCAACGGCCCTCAAGTAAAAAGGCCAGCACATCACAAGTCAAGAGAAGAAAAAAATCACACTCCAAAACAAACAAGGAGCATATAATAATAATAATATGGCCTACATTGACCTATAAAGAGTTTGATACAATAATACAATAGAATTGGAATATAGATCTATAGTCTATATATATAATATGAACCCTCCATATAGATCTAGATCTAGAATCTAGTTATATTATAGATCTAGAGATCTAAATAAATCTAGATCTAGATCAAGATCTAGATCTAGTAGAACAAATGAATAGGAATAGGCCTTGAACGAGAAATCTGCATCCGATTCCGAACAGAGGGACTCAGCTGAGTCTAGATTAGATCTTTATTATTCTAAGTAAATAATTCACGCACCTGATAAAATGCGTTTTACCAACATTAATATTACAACACATCCTATAATGGGGTTTGACACAATAAAATTGGAATATAAATTCTCCATTGAGGCCTATAATGATCTATAAATCTAGATCTAGAGAAGAACAAGTGAGTCGGACTTGAACTTGAAAGAATCTACATGATCTGAACAATCAGTAAACAAACGAAATTCAAACTGGCCGCTCGAGCACGAAACTGAAAGTAGATAATTTAGGTCGTCGTACTATTTCGTAATCGTATTTCTACTCAGGTTCCGACAATTATGTCGGAAACGCCGACGTCGGCACGAATACAAAAGTGCCGACAAAGCCGACGGGAGAAAAAGGGGGCGCTGGCAGTCGGCCAGGTCTCGCACTTCGCACATTGACTAATACAGGTGGGCTTAGCGATAGCATCGGCCTGCTCGCGGGCCAGGTCACGATTGACGGATTTCAGACGATTGTCGGCAAACATGCAGGTCTATAGAGGGAAATGACAATAGTAAGGATTAAGAAAGAAAAAGCAGCAGTTCCCTGTTGTAGATCAGGCACAGTTATGAGCGTGACATGAATCAGCCCATTTACAATTCTACTGTGCTTGAACGAGAAATGTCCCCCCTTTGGGAATGGCCTAAAGACACTACAGTCAGTGGCACTGCCCAGGGGGTGGGGGGTGTGGGGTGTGTGTGTAAGTGTTTAACAGCGCTCGCAACTGCATAAGGTCATATGAGTGCGCGGGACACACTAAACTTTCAGTTGGTAGGAAATTTTTTATTTTGCACGGGCGGCAGTCGAAGCCTACTCTTATCGATTTTAGACTACCAAGGGATCTTTAACGTGCGCAACTTGATTACGGGACCTCCAACATTTTTCGCCCTTGTCCGAGAAGGGTAGGTGTAGATCTTTCCGACCAGAAGATCAGGGGTGTGGTTGAAAGACAGCAGTAAAAAAGAGCCATGGAGTAGCAGTAAAAAGGCTAAGGGTTGCAGAAAGAGTCAGAAGTCCAGAGGGGCGCAAAGGGGGTGAGGGGATAGGGGCAGAAAGTGGAGACGAAAGAAGACGACAGAACATTGCAAGAGAGTAAGAGAGCAAGAAAGAAGGTGAAAGGAGACAATTTTAGGGAAGAAAATTTTTCGGTCACCACCCGGATTCTAACTCGGGACCTTTGAATGAGAGGCGAACACCTTAACCTCTAAGCCACAAGAGCCCCGCACAACAGTTTTAATGCTGATTTTTTTTTTGCTTAGTTTTTGTCAATAGAGTGGACAATTTTTTTTAACCAAGTCTCATGAAAACAAGCAATAAAGATTTAGTTCTTGCTCAATGCAATTTCAGAATGTCTTCACTTGAGATTGGGAAAAGAGCTCTTAAAATCATTTGTTGACATCTTAAACACACATATTTATCAATTTATAAAGCAAACTATTTTACTTTTACGCAACAGCACTAGTTGCATCGAAGAAAAACAAAAGAATGTAATTTGTAAAGACGAGTTCATAAGCAAAGGTAGATGACCTCCGAGGGTTTCCATTTATAATAAAGCAAGATATCCAACTTGAGCATCCAACCTGCACAGTAAAGCAACACTAAACAAATAATCCCTGACCTTTATATCCAGGCTCAAATCCATAAAAGGGTCAAATGTGTTCGACTTTCCTTGACACCGAAGACAAGTCACTGAAAATTCAATAAAATCAGCAGGTCAGTATTTGACATATTGCACATCCAAATGGTCAAAGATAGAATGTGATAACTATCACCTTTAATTAACAATTATGTTTCGAAGAATGCATATATACACATTGTATTAGTCGTTTTTTGGTTTTTTTTAAAGAAACAATTCCAATTTTTCTGAAAAACTAAAAATAAATCAGCGAAGAGTACACTACCTTTAAAAAAATGTTCTGTTTACTTCTTACAATAACTGCAATTTTAGCAAAACAGCCACACAGAATAGATGAAAGAGCAGATACAGACGTGACAAAGAAAGCTCAACGCTCATTACAGCATGAAACACCCTATGTGCCATCACGTGCTTATGTGTAGGGCCTCTGTGAACTAATTCTGCAGAGACAATAGGCCATGACCAACCGGATGTGGCGGGACATTCACTTGGTGATTCCTTTTTCTAGCCTGCAATCAACATACACATGTTCTTGTGTCTCTTTCTTCTGTTTTAAAGAGAGAGTAAGACTTGATGATTTGTGTTACTCACAGGTTGCTGGTGAAGATTTAAAAAACATAACCCTTAAAATGCTTTTCAATTTAGCAACGGAAGCATTTCGGCTTGTTTCCTAACAAAGATAAAAAGGACAAAAAATCATGTTTTTTTTATAGGTTGACTACTGTTTTCCGTTTCATTGTGTTTCGTTTAAGTGGACTCAACTGTATTTGATTTATCATGAGATTTACCTTGGCTCCTGAGATAACCGCCAAAAATCTGGTTAATAACCGTAGTCTCCTTGCTGAATCTGTCCAATCTGAGAGGAATAAAAAATATAATAAATTCTTCAAAACCAAAGAAGCTGGCAAAGGTAGGAATGATGAGCTTAAGATTTGTTTTGTTTTAGTAAGTTTTACGGCGCTCGCAACTGCATAAGGTCATATGAGCGCGCGAAAAAAGGTTTGTTCTGTTCACAACAGTAAACTGCACAGCCTGATTCTGGTCAACACCTCTACTAAAATTCTAAAATACTAAAAATTTGATGTAAATAAACTAATTGAAAACAACTATCTAAATAACATTTCAAAAAATTTTTAATTCCATTCACAATGGCCTTTATAAAAACCAGAATTCTGTTGGGATCAATGACGGAAGACAGACCTTGCAATTTTTTGCATCTAAAATATTTCCTTCGGGTCTCTTCAAAGTCTAGACATTCTGTTAAAATGTGTCCAATGGTAAAATCTGTGTCGCATCTGACACAGAACGGCTTCTGATCTCCCTGAAGGAGGTATTTATATGTCAGGGACATGCGTCCGATGCGTAATCGAGTAAAAATGACTTTGTCTCTTCTTGAGAGACCCGAAAGATTTAGCAATCCCAGTTTGGGCTTAATGTTGTGAAGTTTGCTGCTCACTTGCTTTTTCCAATGAGTCTCCCACAAGCTGAAGGTGAGTTTTTTAATTTTATTTTTTAAGTCAGTCTGTGGGAGAGTGTTCGTCGTTGATCCCAAAACTAAGGAAAAGGATTCTTTCGCCAGGAGGTCCACTTGCTCGTTTCCTCGGATGCCCACATGGCTAGGTAGCCATGCGAACACTATATTTTTCCGCGGTTTCAGCTAAAGCGTGCATTTATTCTGTCCGATAACATAAGGAAATATTTGTCAGGAGCATTTTTTACGGAGTCCAGTGCCATGTCAATGGCAGTGGCCTCCGCAGAGAAAATGGAGGCTTCGGGATGGAGTCTCTGCTGGTGTGTACCGTTTGAGGATAGGGCAGCGGCGCCCACAGCAGAGTCCAATTTAGAGCCATCTGTGAAGATTAGCTCGGCACCGGGGTTTTTTTCTTTAACCTTTTGTATTCGAGCTTTTGCCAAAAGGTGGGGGTGTTTGCATGAGGACGTTTTAAATCAACCACTACTCATGGTAAAATATGTTTTCTTCTGAAAACTTTAAGCATATGGCAAGGAAATAAGTTGGTCAAGCTGCATGAGCAAGTAGATTGATGTGTGCATCTTATATCTCTTCATAGAAAGATAATAGTACTAAAAATAGGGCATTTTTTACTCATCCTGAGTGCACACGTAATTGTATGTTAAATACAGAATATTGTTAATCTTAAACTATCAAACAGTAGTGCATTCAAACATTGAAATTAGCTTGTATACACCATCAGATCATAACAGCGTGTGTCCATTAAAAGGGTTTTATTTTCTTATATTAATGTTATTTGCTGAGTAAAATTTATAAGTTCGTTCATAACTCGTGTCATAATTACATCATCAGACTTTCCAAGGTCTAGAAAACCCAAATTGTTAAACATATCATCCTGGGGAATGACCGGTATTAAACACTGGTTTGACATTGATCCATCAGAAGGGTAATTTTCCGCTCCATCGCATGGTTTTGCTTAAATATGACTTTGATTGAGATAATCCAGGTTTGTCATAATGATGTTATGAACAAACACTTTATATTTCTGCAAAATATCATGTGAGGGACTTCCCACTGTTTCACAACATCCTTTTACATGGTGGAATGAACATGGAAGAGTAGCGTGCTGATGACTCAAAAGAGAAGCGAAGAAGAGGCAAAAATATGCTTGTCATAATGGATTGTCATCATGTTATGAACGTGACAGTGTGTCATAATGGTTATGAACAAAACCTTATTCCATGTAATTTACAGTTATTTTGGGATGTATTTTTAATTTTAACCCAACTTGAGGATGTATTAGACCGTGCTTACATTCTGATATTTTGATTTTTATCATAAGTGTATGGGTATGTATTTTAATCAGTATTTTTCTTTTGTAGTAATGGTTATGAACGAACTACATATTGTACTCTGAGGGCTTTCCAGTGTTGATAAACATTAAAAACATGTACACAGATACATATTATGAGGAAACTTTCATTTAATATAAAATTTTTAAGTAAATGACAGGTCAAAATATTGATTTTTAGGTCAAAACTGAAGTTTGTCATAATAGTTATGAACGAACCATTAAAGGTATTCTAAGGGTTTTTCAGTGATTAAGCTTTGAATTCGTTCAACATATAACCTTATTTTGAGGAGAGTCTCATAAATTAAAACAATTTTATGTGAATGACAGAACAATAAGTTAATTTTTTGGGCCCAAAGTAAAATTTGTCATAATAGTTATGAACGAAACAGTGTGTCATAACGGTTATGAACGAAACCTTATTCCATGTAATTTACAGTTGTTTTGGGATGTATTTTTAATTTTAACCCAACTAAAGGACAGAATAGACCTTGCATACATTCTGATATTTTGATTTTTATCATAAGTGTATGGGTGTGGATTTTAATTAGTATTATACTTTTGTAGTAATGGTTATGAACGAACTATTTATAGTCCATTTTATATATTTTGAGGGCTTTTCAGTGTTAATAAACTTTAAAAACATGTACAGAGATACATATTATGAGGACAGTTTCATTTAATAAAAGTTTAAAAAAATGAATGACAGATCAAAATGTATAAATTTTTAGGATAAAAATTGAAGTTTGTCATAATTGTTATGAACGAACCATTTTAAAGGTATTCTAAGGGTTTTTCAGGAAATAAACTTTGAATTCTCCCTACATAGAGGAATCTATCATATTTTAAGGAAAGTCTCATAAATGAAAACCATTTTATGTGAAACACAGATCAATATAAGTAAATTTTAGGGGCCAAAAGTAAAATTTGTCATAATAGTTATGAACGAAACAGTGTGTCATAATGGTTATGAACGAACTTTAAATTTATGCATAACATGCCCTATGACCAGTTGGCGTTTAAAAATAGCTGTTCAATGGTCTTTCATTTATCACTTGACTATAATTAGACTAGAGTGTTATTTTAGACAATTCTAGTCGATGAAACTTGACATAATTGATAGTATTTTGGTCACTTATTGTTCGTTCATAACTATTATGACACAAAAAAGTAATTTTCTCAAAAATTAATAAAGATTTTTATAAACTGTCAATTCTATGTATTTTTAGAAGTTATTTGCTATGTCTCAAAATATAACATCAGCCTAGCAGAAGAAAGGAACTTTGAGTATTCACAAATTTGTGTCATCATTGTTATGAACAAACTTTTTGCTATTTCCGTCATTCAAGTCAGAATTACACCAAGACCATTGCATATACAGCTTTGGCAGTTACTGAGCCTGAAAGAGCAATCATTAGGCTATATAATATGGGTGATTAAAGAATTATTACATAAAGTTGATTTTGGACCTCATTTGTCACACCCAGGTATCCCACCTTTTGGCAAATGCTCATTCTGCTTTAAATGTTTTGGTGTTTGTGCTTGCTTTGGTGTGCGTGGTCAGCTGTAAGTCTAATTTTGCCTTGGTGAGGTGCCGCGGAGGGAGTTCGGGGAAAAAAAATTGTTGGATGTCTTGTTTGGAAAATTGTATGTTTTTAAGGTCAAGGACTCAGAGGCCAAAGGGTTTGATGAGTTTTTCGTTGTTTTGGAATTTGTTTATGGTGTCTGGGTTTGTTCTGAAAACACAGTCAGGTGATGGGTTCCCTGGTGTTGAACTTTGTTTCATTGCGTATTGTAGTGAGAGTTGTGTGTGTCTAAATGTGAGTGATGGTATGTTTGCCTCCGCCTGGAGAAGTGCGGAAAGCTCCCAGGGCGAGCTTATGATTTATCAAAAACATTTATTTAAGACAATAAAGTAAAACAACAAAAACACAAGCTGCATCATCAGAGCCAACATCCTCAGTGACCACACAAATTGATAAAAGCAAGCCAGAGCAAGCAAATCAAATAAGGTAACTACTGCAGTATTACAAGCCTGAAAAAACACCAAAAGCAGTGATTCTCCAGTCATACCACAGAAGTGGCAGAAATTGAACTTATAAGTACAAAAAAGAACAGGGGTCTACAATTGAAATTATAAGTAAAAAGGAACAGGGATCTACAATTGAAAACTCCAGGACATCTGAAGATGAAAAATTATATTTACTTTTCAGAAAAGAACTCTGCACGTAGGGGGAAAAAAAATACAAGAAAAGAAGGAGAGTACAAAGAATGCAAGTACTCACTTTGTCTCGCCATGTAGACATGACTGTTGCAGGTGGTCCACTAAGAAGCGCAAGAACTCATGAGCATCTTCCTGACGACCCCACTTCATGTGTTTTGCTATGCCTGCAGATAAAATAAAATGATCAACCAATGTTATGACAGAATGTCAAGAAATATTTCTTTTCTTTGATCAATATTATCCCCTATAGACACTCCCATATTCACCAATCTCTGTGCATCAGCGCAATGACACATCAACCTACTTTCACTTTATTTGCTACCTTGTACATGCAAATATCAATGCATTCTCATGGAAATCCTGAAAACCACCATAATTGCTCAACATAAGCAGTGATTTTTCAGTTACATACCATGAAATTATAAAGAAAACTGAACAGGGGCATACATTGAAATCAACACTTTTTTTTTGCGCAAACCTGTTTTTATATCAATCAAAACTAAGTCTTTAAGCAACACCATTCCCTTTCAAATTCTCAGGGGAAAAAAATGAAATGTAAACAAATTTACAAACTTACAAAATTTTGGGAAATGACACATGTCAATGAAAACTCGAATGAATTCACTTTTATCCATCTGTCCACCAGTGAAAATATCACCATATTACCACTTCAAACACAACTTGCTTAAAACTCACATCTAAGTTTTTGCAGCATAGAATGGGGCTTGATTGACCTTCCACCGCAATCTAGAGATGTTCGTATGTGGTCCTGAACTTCACACATCATGCAAAAGTCTTTCTTCTTGCCTGAAATGAACAGAGATCACACTTTTTCCAGTAAACAGTAAAAGAAATACTTTAAAACTGCTGCAAAATTCACACATTTTCAAAAATTTTCAAGGAAAATATATATAATGACCAAAACAAAGATTTCCTGTCACTAAAAAGATAAATTTTTTCTGGTAAGTGTTTAACTGCGCTCGCAACTGCATAAGGTCATATGGGCGGGACACACCTAATATTTCCAGTTGGTAGGAAATTTTGAATTTTGTCCGGGTGGCGGCCGAAGCCTTTATAGATTTTAGACCACCAAGGGATCTTTAACGTGTGCAACTTGCACAGTGGCCTTTCCAGACTTTTCACCCTAGTCCGAGGGGGCTAGGTGTAGATCTTTCCTACCAGATGATCAGGGGTGTGGCAGAAAGACAGCAGTAAGAAGGAGCCAAGGAGTAGAAAGGCTGCAGAAAGAGTTAAGAGCCCAGAGGGGGCAAAGGAGGTGAGGGGGTGGGGGCAGATAGAGGTGACAAAAGCAGACGACAGAACATTGCTAGAGAGCAGGAAAGGGGGTGAAAGGAGACAATTTTAGAAAAAGAAAATTTTTCGGTCGCTACCCGGATTCGAACCTGGGACCTTTGAATGAGAGGCCAACACCTTAACCTCCAGGCCACGAGAGCCCCCAGATACAAATTTGAAACACGGGTATCTAGTCTAATCATAAGAAAGAAGTGAATGGTAGATAGAGCTTAATCATGATTTATTTAGAATTTTAAGTGACTGGAAATGTTACCACTTTTACTTTTAACCTTTCCAGCCCCAGCCATTTTTGTGCACTCCCTTACCCCAGTCCCAGCCAATACAGTAGTATTTAAGAAAAGAGGCACGCATTCTAAAAAGTGATGTGGTAACTTTGTAATGAGGTTTAGATAATAACCTATATATAACAAAGTAGGTAAATGAACAACACTTTGAAAATTAAAGTTTGATTAGGTTCATTAATTTAGAAAAATTAGCAATTTCATTCGGTACCCCAAAACTGAGAACATACAACACTCTTGGGTTGGTGGGAGGTACAAACGCTGCTGAAAATATACGCGCATGGGGCTGGAAGGGTTAAGAATAAGACCCATTTTCAAAGAACGACCATTTTTTTAAATCCCAGAAAAAACATATATATAGAACATACATTTCTCTCTGTGGTCATTGGTGAAACAGTAGTTCACTAGTGGTGCAGTGTAGGTCAAGCACTGCAAAGTTGAATTGAAGAAGCAGGTATTCCCCATGTTGACTAAACCAGCTCCGATTCGAGTCATCCGAGACCACTCCATCTTGACTTTCTCCTCCGGATACAGCACCACCCTGGGGCTTGGCAGGGAATCCCCATTTTTGTCACTGTGAGCAGAGCTAGTCATGGCTGGGAGAAAGAGCGACAAAAATATAAATGTGTTACGGCATGGAGAAATCAGGCGCTCCCCAATTTTGGGGTATAAGAAATATATTGAATAGGTACCATTATAAAGCTTTGTCTTGCTTGTGATAAAAAAAATTACCCATCTACCTTGAATAGAAGTTGAGATTTATCTCTGTATTGAAGGAGGTGGGGGTCACCTGGTTTCAGATGTAAAATTAGTAAAAAAAGTGGCGACCGAAGCCTGGAATCTAGATCTATAGCTCGAAAGTCCTTGCAAACAAATAAGTGACATTTTTTGTGCCTTTTATCAACGTTTTTTAAAATTGAAATCTCCACAGAAATGTGCTTTTCAATACATGAGGTGTTGAACCAAAAAACACAATTTTTGAAAAAAAATGCAAAACCAGGGGAAAATTTAAAAAAGACGAAATTTCTCTAAATTCATTATTTTGACGAGAGCCTGATTTCACCACGCTGTCTCACAAATTTTAAGGACACAGATCAATGAATTAATTTCTCAACATAAATCTAAGGAAGTGGACATCCTTACCCGGGGTGAGAATAACCCCGGGTGAGACTTTTGCCACTGTAACTGTAGGCTATTCTCACCCGGTGTGAAACAAGACCTGTTTTTCCTATTTCGGAATATTTTCTATCGGTGTGGATGATCAAATGGATAAAAGCAAAGAAAAAATTACGTTATAGCACAAAAGTAGGCTAATTTGATCGTCTACAAAGATGCTATGGCTATTTCACTTTTCGAATCGAGCCGAACTACGCGGGTTGCCATTTTGTTTTGCCCGGAAGGTCTCGCGCTACTCCTCTCTCTCTCCACTGCGCCCACAGACAAAATTGTACGCTTTAAAGGCTAACAGTAGTAATGGAACGTTTGTTCACGGCACAGAATTCTACAATTTTTGTTTTCAGTGTAGAATTCTGTGGTTCAGGGTGAACGTAAAATTGGTTGGCCTAGATCTAGGCTATAACAGTGAACGCACACCGGGTGAGAATAGCCAAAAGACTTGCCTGCGCTATTCTCACCCGGGGTGAGAATAGAGGTGGCCTAAATCTAAATTAAATCATGTAATACACAACACTCTACCCGTTATCATTCAGCACCACAGTCCCAACTTTTTACACAACAGTGCCAAGTCAATCTAGATCTACACTATATAATAAATGCTCTTACTATAATTTTCTTAATTAAGACTGCATTAAATTTTGTGGGCGGTTTGGGTCTTCCAAGCTTAGCGCCACAGCCACCCTCCTTTGAGAATATGAGAGGAAAGGTCTCAGCCACTGGGCATAACAAAAATATTCATTCTCAACTTTTGTCTAAAACAGTAAGGGGGGGGGGGGGTGTACATGTACATGGGAGTGGGGGGTATGGGAAGAAGAGGTTTCAGGGTATGTGATGTGTGTGAGGGGAGAGGGGAGGGGCGGGTATAAAGGGTTTTTTAACTTTGAAGAAGTTAACAACCTCCCTCCCCCTTGAAAATTCAGTTAGCAACAATATCTGCCAAACAGCAACCAAGGCCTGCTTCCCAACAGGGTTGCTGTTATTGTTAGATCTAGATCTAGATCTAGAAATCTAGAATCGGTGATCTTATGTCTTATACTTTAGCACGTTAAATTCTTGAATTGATTTTATTCCCTTTTCCGTAACAAGCCTTACTAGAACGGTAGATCTAGAAATCTAGATCTAAATCTAGATCTAAGACAAGATCTAGATTCTAGATTAGAATCTACTTTGCGCATTTTTAGGCCCAGTTCAAAGTTTTGAAGGTCTGAGTCGGGGATTAGTAGACTTGGGGAATTTAACGTGCTAAAGTAAAAGATCACCCTAGAATCTAGATCTAGATCTAGATCTAGATATCTAGAATCTAGATTTTAGATCTAGATATCTAGATCTAGATTCTAGTAGATCTAGATTAGTAGGCAGGCAGAGACCATGCTTACAATTATCAATATATTTTCACACACTAGATCTAGATCTCTAGCCACTTTTACTTTACCTTGGTGTTGTGGAGTACTTCCATCTCCCCATGGCCTGCTTTGTGTAGGTGCTGAATTGAGAGGGATGTACTTAGCTCTCAGTGTATCACGTTGTATACTGTAGGGGGCAGATGCTGGTAGAAACTCAATATTGTGCAGCAAGACACGCTTAGAAGCTGCAGCGACATCTTCATCGAGACGATCCCTGTCCCGGCCGCCTAAAGAGGCCTTCAGGGAGCTCTGGATCACCTCAATGTTGCCAGCAGAGTCGGGCATACCATTCACGAACCTAGGTTTTTCAGAAATATTCATAATTCGAAGCCGAAAATAAGGGAAATCCTATACCACAGCCATTTATCTTTCATGTGTATAAAGAGTAAATCAAATTCTTCATGATCTTATTCACAATCGGCTGTAAATCGAGCTGATAACCAGTTTTCGACAGTTTTGTTTTCGCTGTTTACTTTGGAATATCTCAGAGTAAATCCAGTAAAATTCATCTTTGAGAGTGGTGAATAAATAGATGAACAATATCTAACAAAATATTTTATCACCTGACACCAATTCCAAAGAAATCACATTTCAAATTCAAATCCTGCTCAAAGGAGACACCGATCTCTACTTCAAATTATGTAGGTTGCTGTTCTCTCTCGCCACGATTTTTGCGAGCCACATCCGGTCCTGCGCAATGCACTTGTTTATACGGGCACTGGCTCAGTAGCTCGCTGCTATCGGCAAGCCTAGCCTAGTTTCTTTTGACTTTGCCCTCTGTCTTGTTTTTTTCGGTTAAAATACATCGATTCCAAGACTGTATTCTTTTCAGAACTCTCTATCATAAAGACCTGCATAGTGTCATGTTGTGTTCTCATTATCATGTTCGCCCTTTATTCGAGAGGTGCTTGATAAGTCTCAGGAGATGTGGTGGTCGCGCTGTACACGCGAGTAAATCAGCAGACTGTCCAAAGGGAAACAATTCAAGAATTATGAAGACAGCTGATACCAACTCCTTGTTGCCGAACTTATCGAATTTCCGACACTGTGGATCTCGTCATAGTCACAGTCTCAGTGCCCACATCACTACAAATTTGGTCCGCGAGTTCCATGGCAGTTTCTCTTTAAACTCATCTTCATTATCCCCAAACGACCTGAAAAAAGCAATGCAGTCTCTGACAGATCAGTTTATGGAAGCAAGAGAACTTTTGGATGATGCGGTAAGCTGTGCCACGGTGAACTGTGACTGCTGTGTGTAGCCTCCTATATTAGGCTACTGTCCCTAGCACAAAAATCACCTTGACCCGTCACTAATTGCAACAGAATTTCTGTTTGCGGTAAATTGTATATTAGGATGCCAAGAT